GTGTTTTCATGCTTTCATCTCCTGCGGGCAGGGCCTCTCCGCGCAGGCCGCCGCTCCAGCGGCGTTTCTGCGCGGCTCTGGAGCACCCCCTCCTCCCCGAGCTGCTGGTTGGGTTCCGGGTTATTCTGCTTATTTTATTTCACTCCATTCTGTCTTATGTTATCCTGTTTTACTGTATTTTATCGTGTTTCCCGTTGCTCGATTTTACCCCGTTATCTCGTCGTTTCACTTGCCGGCACGTTGTTTTCCGCGCAGGACGATGGCGGGCGCCGCGGCGCAGCGGCACCGAGCGGTGCCCGCCGAGGAGTGGCTGCAGAAATGGGCGGCCGGGAAAACGGGATTCCACCAGGAGCACGGGCACCCGTACGTCACCCTTGCGGCGGGACGAGCGGCTCGAGCCCCTTGGCCGAGTCCGCGGTGAAAACGGAGCGCGTAGGACGGGAACGTCATTCATGCGGGCGCAGCTTGGAGCTAAAATAAACGCAAATAGTTTTGTGACCCGCATTTGTCATAAAGCAGAGGAAAGAAAGGGACGTTTGGCTCTTGCAGCTTTTACTCCTTTAAGGGGGTTTTAAGCCACAGAGCTCTGTGTGTGAACCCAGGACCTGAAACATGCAGAGGGCATTGGAACTCCATAAGGGCAGGACAAAAACAATTACGCACTTTTGCTGTCAGTGAAAATTATGTTTCAGGCATATGTGGGTGATTGGATTGATACAGAGGTTTAATTATCATTCCGTACAAGTAGCCTAATGTGGTCCTTCTAGAGGTAGTGTGATTCGGTTGTTTTCCTTAAGAGTCAGCTGTGCTTTTTCCCAACAGAAATTTAATTTATTTTGCTTCCAAGTAAATGGAAGGTGGAGGATTTTCTGTCCTGTTTTTACTCCTAATTGCATCGATCAGCTTAAAATGAGAAGTGCAGCCTGTCACAGAGTTTGTGTGTTACGTGGCATATCGTGTGGCACTTGGCTTTGAACGTGCCGACACACACAGTCCCAGCGTTCAGTGACAAACGCCTTTTCTTCTGCAGGCTCCTAAAGAAGTATCTGGATGTCCTTCTAAACGGCCGCAATGGACTGAGGATATTTTTCCCACTTTGTGGTAAAGCAGTAGAAATGAAATGGTAAAACACAGAAATAAATAAAAAGGTGGGGCGGGGGGAGAAAACAAGTTATGAGGAGGGAGGAAGGGAGAAGGGGAAGTCCCAACCCTGCAACCTTGGCCTGGCCTGTGGGAACAGGCTCAACTGGCAGCATAGCAGCCTTATGGGGCACCAAAGGGAGGAGGAAGTTTGCTCACACTTATTGACTTTTTGCATAGTAGCGTGGGTTAAGGACTAACCTGAAGTCCTGCTCGTTGTCCCAAGTCCGCCTGCTGCTGAAGCCCTGGTGCTTCCTTTGGTGCCAGCGAGATCAGTTGTGCCAGAGCGACTGCTTGTAGAGGCAGCTGCCGTATCACTCTGGGAAGGTGATCTGAATTAAGTTTAAAAAGTCCTGATCCAAACAGTGCTGATTTAAACTTGGATCACATGAGGTGAATTGTCAATAGAATGTGTAAACTCCAGTAAGTCAGCCTTGGGCACAGCGATACCCCCTAAAACAGGGAGGTGGGGAGGCGTTCCTCCAAGAGTACGTGCTGTTGGGTGTATGTTTCGTGCTGGTGGCCCAACCTGGGGGCCCCGGTGACCGTGGGCGCTTTCTGTGGCGGGCGCAGGCTGGCGGACCTGGGGCACCGCGTGGTCGGCGCGGAGATCAGCGAGCAGGCGCTGAGGGAGTTCTTCAGCGAGCAAGGCCTGCCCTACCGCGAGGAGCCCGTGCCGGGGATCCCGGGCGCGAAGGTCCTGCAGGTACGCGGCCCGCGGGCGCTGCGACGGTCTCGAGCCCGCGGCGCGGCCTCGCTCAACCGGGAGCTCCAGGGAGAGGGGCGGGAGAGGCGGCTCCGAAAAGAACGGTGGAAAATGCTCCTCGCGGTTCTCCCCGTTGGACCTAAGTGCATATTTAGGCATGCAGTTCACTAAACGCTCTTTTCCTTGCTTTCCTTGTAGAGCACGTCTGGGAACATTTCTCTGTACTGCTGCAGTATTTATGATTTGTCCAGGTAGGAATACAATGTGTTCTACGGTTTTCTATAGTCAAATGTGTATTAATATTGTTAAATTATTTTATATGGACTAGCCATGATTATTTGGAACAAGGCCTCTCAAGAAAACTCCTGTTGATTTCTTTGATTAAATGTGAATAGCCAACACTCCTCAAAAATTAACTCTGTTGTTGACCATTAGATAAAGATGTCAACTATATATCTTAAAAAGGCTTGTTGTTCTAAGGTGCCATATGAAAGTTACAGGAAAACGTGTCTGCTTTTACGGTAAAACCAAATTACATTTAGTGTTGTTGATAGATTCCAACAAGCAGAATTCGAACACAGCCCTATATTCAGAGTTGCTCAGTAAAAGCAACAAGAGTAAAACAGAGGTGTCTTTTTGGAAAGCTTCTCCTTTGACTCCCTCGTTAATGTATGTGTAGTGTCCATGCTGTATCCATCAGTTAAGTACCCCCTGCTTTACTTAACATGCCTTTCTCACATGGCTAAAAGAAGGTTGCATCCCTGCAGTGTTGGGACACTCTACACACTGTATTGTCAAAAAAGGATTTCACAAGTATCTTGGCAAACATGGCCTGAACTACTGGTGTCTTCTAAAGGGTCTTTGGTGCTCTGGGGCCCTTATTTTCTAGATTAAAGGCACAACGGAAAATGCTAAAACCTTAGTAGGGTCAGCACTATAAGGTCCTGACAGATGTTTCAGTCTGTAGTTTTGTGTGGCCTCAACATTTTCTGGTGGCTTTGCACCTAACTTTCAGCTCCTGGTTTACCTGCTGGGAGATCTTGAAAATCACAGGGTTGTACAGAGCGCACAGCAGGACTTAGGACTCTCTCCAGCCTCAAGCACAGAGGACTGTGCCATAGACATTAATGCATTTGGCTGGTTTCCTCCTTCCCAGGATGGTTCTGGTGGTGGTGGCAATGGGAACATTTAAAAGATGCTCAGACCTAGGCCAGCACTGGGGCAGCTGGGGGCTGTGCAGGAGGGCTGCGTCGTGCCGGTGCTGCAAGGAGGCAACGTGTCTTGTAGGGAGCTGAAGGTGCCCCGAGTCCTGCACTGTGGTTCCCCCATCCAGTAGGGGTTAACTTGGGTACAATGTTCTGTAGAGTCGAAGGGATTTGGTGAGGTGTTGTGCGTTTCTTGCTTTTCCTGCAAAGCAACTGTCAGGATCGGGCTGCAAATATCAACCCACAGTTGTTAGGGAGGAGGAAGTCAATTCATAGCCTTTACTTGAGTAGTCCTTTCAGAGCTACTAAAAATACAGCTGTAATAGGTAATTTAGGAAACCAAAATATAGTGTTTACTTTATGATACTCATTTTTTATCAGCATAAATTGGGAGGAAAGAAAAAAAAAACATATTTACTACTAGAGACCAAAGTCTTTTAGACAGTGGATTTACTGCTAGAATTCTTCCTGGTGTAGTCGACTCCATTTGGCTTAAACAGTGCGTGTGTAACTAGTTCTGCAAAGATGGATGCCTTGGAACAGATGAGTGGTAATGTGGAAGTGGCTTGGTAGGTACTGCCTGGTTTCCTCCTTGCCCTTGCTATGTAGATTCCTTTAAATCCTCCTCGCTACGAGTTGATGGGTTGCCCAGGAAATGCTTGAGCTTCTTGTCAGCAGTTTTTGAAAATTTCAGTTCTAAATTTTAGTAGCAGGTAGCATGGTAAAATTCATGACTTCCATCATAACACACAGGAATGACATTAGAAAATAAAATGAAAATATGCAATTAAGAAAAAGAAAGAAAGAAAAAAAGTCAGTGTGTATCTCTGGATCCAGTACATAGTTCATCACCCACAAAATAAATTGGCAGATGCAGGTTCTGGTGCATGGTTCTTACGAAGAATTTGAAGGTGAAAATGAGTCTCATTCCGCAGTCAGCAGGTATCTATGTGTGACTAGAAAAATGCACAATGTTGTAGTTTCTATGTACAGACAATTTGATTAATTCCCTAGTAATTATGGAAATTAAACCTATTTCGCTCTTGCTGGGGCTGGTCTGCAAGCAAGTGCTTTTGATCTCAGTGCAGAGCGTTCATTAGGCAGGAGAACTCGGATGTGCTCATGACCTTTGTCAGAATGAGACGTTTCAAAGACTCTTTCGTTAGTTAATGACTAACAGGAATTACTGCTCTTCGTGGGAACCCTGGGAAGTATGTAAAACACTTATATTACACAACCACTGCGGGTCCTAACACAATTATGGTTGTCAGTCTTATATATATGTGTGTGTGTGTGTGTATATATATATATATAAACTGAAACTCCTAAATACGTGCAGAGATAGCAATTCACAGCTTTACTGCCCAAATCCAGTGGGGTACTGTTAAAATCTGTGGCGCTGTTATGTGGATTTTTACATGTAAATTTTTATGAATACTTGTAGCATCGTCCTTACAATTAGACCAGATTAAAGCCGGGGAGAAAGACCAGGTGCAGAAAACTGCAAGGGCTTCGCTGTGCATAGAGGAGAATGTTGTCCAAACCTCAGGCTAGGTCTGCACCTGCCTTGCCAGACACAGCCGCTTTCCCTTCGCCCTCGCTGCGCCCTCACTGTCTCTTTAAAAAAGACCTCCTTTCAGTTAAGGCTGGATATCTAAATTAGATCCTAGTCTTGGCAGGCTTTAAAAGAAGTCAGGACATGAAAGCCTTATCGTGTCTCATTGCATTAGAGCGGGACACCCAGGATCAGCATGGGGTTAGGTGCCAGCGCTCAGCGATGCTGTCGCAACGTGATGAGCAGCGGGTAGGGAGGACGGCGGGGCAAGAGCTGGCGCAACCAGACGCTGACAGACTCTCCCATTAGGGGAAGAAGGGTTTTGGCCATTCCATCCCATAATTTCCTCTTAAGGAAACTTACCTCTTTATAACTTGCTTTAAAATTTTGCAATTTACTTTATTTCTACATTAATCTCTAAACGCCTGCTTTAATAATTACCAGCAACGAAACTTCCTTCCCTCCCTGTGACATCCTCATCTCTAGTGTCACCCTGGCTACTCTTACCAACCGTTAGCACAGGCAGTTCCCCATAGCCTTGGCCATTTGCTAGTGTATATAACAGTAAGTAACAGTATTTATGAGGAGGCTAGGCCAACGTGAGCAGCAATGTAACGTAACTGTTCTCAAGTTAAACTAATTTCAGCCTGAAGCTAACTGTCCGAGCGTGTAGCTGGAACCAGACAGGTCTTGCACTGCTGGGTGCATTGAGCTCAGCAAGACCAATGCAATGAGGCGCCCTCCCTAGGCCGCGTTTGAGCTCGCGTGTGGCGTTAGAAGGTGGCCGGGATCCAGGGACATCTGAGTGTGTGTCGGTGCTGTCTCAAGGGTCACAGCAGGGTTCAGTTGCCAAAAACCAAGCTTGTAGCCCAGAAGAGGAATGTTCAGCCTGGATTTCTTCCTCTGGCCTTGTTTCGGCACCATTAAGTGCTGGGGAAATGCTGCACATCTCTGTGTCCTACCGGCAGGGCCGCATGCGGGGCGGGTTTCTTGAGGCCCCGTTCATTACGCTGTGGAGTGGGAGGATGCCGAACCCAAACAACAAATCAGCTACAGGGGTATCTGCACAGCTAGCTGGAGACTCCTCGTGATTTCACAGGAGTATCTGAATGAAAAGAAATGCACTTTTCTAGTATTTTAAAGTCTTTCTCTCATCTTCCTGCAGTGCAGTTGTTGGCAAGTTTGATGGGGTTTGGGACAGAGGAGCTCTAGTGGCTGTCAACCCATGTGACAGAGAACGGTTAGTAACCTTGCTTTGCTGATGCTTTCTCTTTTTGTGATGTATCTAGTGATTAGGTGCTTCTGACTCCTGCTACGTGCGGGTGAGTCCTCCCTCATTGCTCAGAGCGGCCTCACAAGCTCTTACCCACCACAGGCCTCAGCTGCAGTGGCAGAGCACTCTCGACTTGTGGGCTTCCGTCAGGAAGCTGTCCTGCCTCTTGGTGGGAAAATATGTGGTTTCGTGCAACCCATCAGAAGCAGAGCTGCAAGTCTCATCTGAATGTTATTATTTCCTTTTCACTCCATCTGCTTCTCCTCCCTGTCTTTGTTCTTCTTAGCCGCACTTCCCTTTATTGCAATTCTTCCTTCTTGCCTATAGCCCACCCAAATTTAGTTTGGTCCTACCAGCAGGACCTTTTAAGTGGTTATACAGTCTTGCTTTCACAATAACTGTACAAGCTATGTACAATACTGTGTAGCAATTACAGATTGTGACAGACAAATTCTGTTTTGTCTGCTAGCTGAGAAACTAATATGGGGGGAAGAAAAAATGCTTGTTTATGAGAGTATACAGTAAAAGTATACAGTAACATTTAAGATGTATTGCGTGAATTTCATGCTTATCTATCTCTGCTTATTTTCTGTGCATTTCAGTTGAACTTGTCTCTGCATAGGAATACATCATACTACTGGGTTTTTTTTTTTTGAGTATTTTTGAATGCTAAAATGTTTGTACAGTTCCAAAATAACAGAATGCAACTCTCTCCTTTCAGCTATGCCAGTTTGATGATCTCCCTAATGGAGAAAAATTCTTCTTACCTCCTCGTTACTGTTTTATATGATCCAAACAAACACAAAGGTTTTTTTTGCACTGTTCATGTTTTGATTTTGCATGCCTTAATATAAATTGTATATAGATGAGACTGATATATTAATATCTTCCCCAGTGCTTTTATCAACATGTCTGTGTCAGCAAATCACACCAATACAATTGTGGCAAAAAAAAATAATAATAATGTTGACGAAACTTGAGACTAAATTTGCTTTTTCTGTGGCATCCAGGTGTGCTAAGAGCAAGTGGAGGAGAAAAATAGTGTTTTAACACACTGAATGTCCCATCCCTCCTTGGGACCCTGACACATTCCCAAGACTATCTAACTATGATGGATCATTGCTCAATACTCGTAACCAAATGTGTTGCCCATCTTGTATTTCCCTTTCAATCCCAGTCATGATCAGGTCTGAATGTGCCTGGAAAAGGTGAAATTCTATAAAGTCATAAAGTACTTTAGCATTTCATAACTTTTATTATATATCAGAATTTGGGGAGATATCAAGTTTTTTTGGTTAGCTCTCAAAAGAAACCAGTTTCTCATTGATTTTTGGATTCCTCAATTACCCTTCACAGAGCAGCCCTTGCTGTCATTAACCACAGCAGTTTAATTCATTGCTCTCCCTCCCACTGAGCTTTTTGCTTTAGTTACACCGTTATAGTACCAATGGCTTGATGCTTGCACAACACACACAGTGGTCGCATCCATGGCATAGCCATGACCATCCCGCTCTGACAACGCGGCTACAGTGGCAGTAGTCTGGAAACAGTCCGGACAGGGCACCGGGAGCTGCCCGGTGAGGCCCTGATGGGCCTCGTGTTGCTGGAGATGCTGTTTTCTGGCTGCTGCAGAGGGTGGTCGCCCTGGGGCCAGCGCTGTGGGCTGGCTGCTGTGCGCGGTGGGGCTAGTGCTCCAGCTGCGGTAGGAAATGCTCGTCGCCTTCCTTGCCCTTCTCTCTGACTAGCTCTATCCGTTCGCTTTCCAGGCCCACCGTTTTATGTTCCTGAATCTGAAATTACAAGCTTGTTTGGTGAGTTATCTTTTGGCTAACAGTTATGATTTTTCCAGAGCATGCAAATACATTAACGCGCTTCTATCTTGCCCTGCGGCAAGTGATACTGACTCATTTGTTCATCTCTTACGTAAGAGGTGGAGTAATGGAAAAAATAACGGGGGAAATAAATATAATTTTGCCAGAAAGATTTTGTTGTTAAGGAAAATTCTCAGCTCCTCAGAAGATATGAGGAAACATGTCACTCGTAAGATGGACATGTAAGACGGCCTGGTAGCTTTTAATTCTCCTAGCATTCAAACCGTACTCAGTCCTGTTTAACAACCTTCTCTGCACCTCATCACTAGCTACCCCAGTTTTAGTACCTTTGCATGTTAGTTCTACAGTTTCTGCTGTACTTTTAGAACAGAAGAAGAAAAATAAAATGCCCTCCTAAAGGAAGCATTAAATGTGTAACTTAAATCCACCAAAATAAGGAAAGTCAGAATAACTGCTGGAATTTAATTTTAGACACACTTCTCAATATGCTTGATATTGCCCTCGGTTCGCTTAAGTTAATGCCTTTCTGTGACCACCACAGTACCCATGCACAGTTCATTGCTGGTACTAGTGCAAGAGAAACTATCAAGCTCTGCTCAGCCCATTTGTGTTGGCACTATGAAAACACATGTTTTTCCTGATCGTTTGCATTTTTTCCATGACTTACATTACAATAATACACTATTCTTTCCTCCTTTACAGGGAGCCAGTGTGAAATTAAGTGTCTTGAAAAAGTCGATGCCTTTTCAGACAGGCACAGAGACTGGGGACTAGATTATTTTCTGGAGGTGCTGTATATACTAAAGTTTGATTTAAAAAATCATGAAACTAATTAAAATGACTTCCACCTTTTTTTAATCTTCTTTAAAACCAGACACATTTTGAAGCACTCTAAAAGCAAGCTTCAGCATATGGAAAAATGTCCGTGCAGCACTGATCTTGTAGTGATTTTGCTTTCAAAATTAACTCTCTTATGTAACTGCCTTGCCTGTTTTGCTTTTTGTAAACTCCATGCATAAATAAGCACTTTAAAAGTGGATCTTTTTCTTCTATGTTCATTCAAGTAATCTGAACTAAAGAAAACGACCCTTTTCTGTGGTGGTCGGTAGATGCCGTCTCTCTGGAGCTGTGAGTTCTACCTCGGACACTCGCAGACCTGGGAATAACGGCTGCAGCTCCTCAAATAGCATTTCCTGTAGCACTGGCCTCACGCCAGTAATGGCAGCCGGGCAGGAGAGGCGGGAAGCTGGCGTGAGTTGTTTCTCCCTGTCCCTGTTAGTCACGATTACAGGCCAACAGACTAACCAGCAGCGAGCAGATAGGAAGAGTTGGCAGCAGCTGCCGAGGGGGATTTATAATCGAGTGGGAAATAGGTGAGAGAAGTGAAGCAGCTGACAGGGAAGCAGAAAATGTGCCTGCAGTTGCTTGTAAATATGCTGCGCTCTTCTGCAAGATGTAGTTGCAGGTAGGCAACTGGCACAGAGGTTGTACGTTGCAGGAGTGGGTCAAGGAAAGCCCGCAGAGCTTTTGCACGTTTGCCTAGACACAAGCCCTTTTGAAAGTCTTCTATTGTTGCCTTATAAACACCTTTGCAATTTTCAAAATTACAGAATTTGGAGGGTTCCTTTTGAGTTTCTGGTTATTTATTTATCATGATACAGAAACATTCCTTTTGAGTGTTTCTCATAAAATTCAAAACTTTCTTGCCCTAGCCTTGTCCCCTTGCCAGTTCATTTCAAAGCAGATGAAAGGTATGATTGCAAGGTAGTATATACTGTCATTTACTATGGCCAGAATGAAAATAAAAGCTGTGTGGCTTTCTAAAAAGTGAATGTCACCTTTGAGCTCCAAAAATATACAGTTCAAAGCTTTATCTGATTGTCCTTTTGACCAGCTGTTGCTGTTCATTACAGGTGCTGCAGTCTTAGAGCTGCAGGCCGGTCTGATGCCTTTAGCACAGTAGTCCCCAACTTGTGGCCTGTTACTTGTGGCCCTTGAGATTAAAAAAAAAAAAAAAATCAACCTAGTAACAGCGTGTAGAGGGCAAGGCCTGCACATACCCAGAGACAAAGCTGAATTGATCAGCAAAAGACCTAAAGTAACCTAAACCTGTTTAAGCTTCATTAACATACTAAAAATTAGTCTGTTAATTAGCATTTGCCATTAATACGATAATGACTGCCACCCAGTGTCTGAAGCAGAGGAACCTATATAACACGCATGTTCATAAGAAAATTCATTAGCAAACTAACCAATCACACACTTACAGGTAGAAATTTCCATAGTCAACTCTAGTTAAATAGAACCAGCTCTCTCATGCAGGTGTGCTTGCTCTGCAAAGGATGGCCAAGCACCCGAATCCACGCAGATTTAAATAAAGACCTTTGTGTGGCTTCCAACGCAGTGGGCTTATTGGCTTGGTGCACTGGGCACGCTGGCGCAACACAGTATCATTACAACTCTCAATATTGCTCATAGACCCTGGGTGTTGCTTCTGTTTCAGACCAGGTTGAGAGAAAGGAAAAAAAATACTCCTTTTTTTTGTCCAGATATTTTTTTCCTTAGGTTCGTTATGAGAGCTGTTGAAATTTATCTTGGACTATCAGATATCTGTACATGTGAAAAGGCCAGCTGCTCAGCACGAGGCCGCTGCGTGCCTGGGAATACCGAACCGGGGGGAGGAATAGGGGACTGCGCAGGATTTCTGGATGCCTAACAGCCTGGTGGGAGCTGTGTCAGATGAGCGGTGCCAGGATATTTGGGAGGGATCCAGCACCGTGTACGTACTCCACCTTTATCCGGAGAGCGCAGCGGAAACGCGCCGCCTTGCAGGAAGAGCAGGCGCGCTGTCCATGCACCCAACAACATGGGTATATTCACCTGCTGGGGAAAAGCAGCTCTTAGCGATTTGGGTAAATGTTTCCGTTGCATTTTCCCAAAGCTTCCCCGAACAGAAGGGGAGGTCGTATGAAAGTGAAGCCACCCTTTTACACCTATATAAGGAGCACTGTAATAACACAGAAGCTGGCTGTGTGTAGAAGCATGCAGCTCACATTTTAAGTGGCGAATCCTTACTATTTTTTCTTCAGTGGTACAATTTAAACAAGAATTTCGTTTCACCAAGCAGGCATCGATAGCCCACGCATCCCACCCCGCTTCTCCCCTGGCGAAGGGAGACGGCGCCAACGCCGTTATTTAGGCGAGAGAGCCGGTGGGCGGCCACGAAACCGGAGTCGTAGGGGGCAGCTGCCGCCATTT